GGAGGACTATAAAGGCGTGTATCAGGTACGAAACGAATCATGTACTGGATTGTAGATAGTCAAGACGGAATTTGTACCTCTCGTAAAAGAGAGAGATATCGCGGGGCCCCTCGTGTGAGCGAGACTGTAGAAATGTGTGGCCACACTATAGACGAACGTCGTCTATTTCAGACAAGAATCAAACACTAATCCATAAAACTATAGAAAGTGTCAATACATCAAATGTATCATAATCATAGCTCATAAACAGAACATCATAGAGCACCAAACCAACATGACCTTCTTGTAAACGCATGGCTCATCTTCGTTTTGCAGGAAGCCAAACGTTTTGACTGCCTCGTCAAATCGAAGATTCTAGCTCCTCAAAGCCTGCTTCAATCCATAAATGGATCTTTGAAGCTTGCACACCTTCCTCGGACTCTTAGGATCAACAAAACCTTCGGGTTGTGTCATGTACACATCCTCGAGCAAATTCCCATTAAGGAATGCGGTCTTGACGTCCATCTGCCATATCTCGTAGTCATAATACGCAGCTATGGCCAGCAGAATCCGTATGGATTTAAGCATCACAACTGGTGAAAAGGTTTCATCATAGTCTATACCATGAATCTGCCGAAACCCTTTCGCGACGAGTCGTGCCTTATAGGTATGCACGATGCCATCCATGTCGGTTTTCTTCTTGAAAACCCACTTACATCCAATGGTCTTAATACCATCGAATGAGTCGTCCAAAGTCCATACTTTGTTGTCGCACATGGACTGCATCTCAGACTCCATGGCATGGTGCCATTTTTCGGAATCGGACTCGCCACAGCCTCTGAATATGACGTAGGCTCGTCATGTTCTAACAACATGAGTTCGTCGTTTCCAGTCACAAGAAATCCATATCTTGTAGGCTCTTGGCGAATTCTATTAGATCTCCGAGGTACACTAGGAGGTGCTGTCTCAACAACTCGTGATACAGGTTGGACTGTTTCGACCTGTTCGTTCGGTTCTTCGACTATTTGTGGTTCTCGAACTTCTCCGAGATCTATTCTACTCCCACTAACTCTCTTGGAGACGAACTCTCTCTCCAAGAAAGATCCATTCCGAGCAACAAACACTTTGTTCTCAGATGGGTTGTAGAACCAGTACCCTTTAGTTTCCTTAGGGTAACCCACAAATATGCATTTATCAGACTTGGCGGATAGCTTATCAGAAGCAAGACGTTTCACGTAAACGTCACATCCCCAAATCTTCATGAATGCTAACCTGGGACGCTTCCCAGTCCATATCTCATATGGAGTCTTCTGAACCGACTTTGTTGGACAGTTGTTCAGTATAAGCGCTGCCGTTTCCAAAGCATATCCCCAGAAGGATTTAGGAAGATTGACCTACCTCATCATAGACCGTACCATATCAAATAAGGTTCGGTTCCTCCTCTCGGAAATGCCATTCCATTGTGGCGTTCCAGGTGGAGTCACTCGAACATAGTCCTGAGATGCTCGATCATCTCGAAGGCATCAGTTCCTTCGAGTTGTTTCTGCAACTCAGCCGACATTGATCCGAGCATCAGGTAGGTCACGTCCAGGTTGTCATTGATGTGCTTATGGTAAGCATCTCTGACAGCCCTGGGCGCATTGGCCGCTGGTTCATCCTCTGGAACGGCTTCTTCCAGCACGTAGAGCTTCCGCTCATGCCTGAGAACAATTCTCAGGTTGCGGTACCAGTCGAGAAAGTTTCCACCAGTGAGTCTCTCCCAATCCAGGATGGATCGCATGGAGAGATTAGCCAGATTACCTGTAGTAGTCATATTCTACAGAAAAAGACAAACAAAAGACATAAAACATGCACGTTGCTTAGTACACATACTAACATAGACAATAGATGCAATATGACAGGCTTCCACTAAGAAAAACACCCTCAATGAGTTTCTAAGTGAGTTAGGATCCATATTTCACATGCTTTTGAGTCAGCTAGGGCATGACGCTCCAAAACATGCTATTTAGGTAGACAACACATTGTCAATCACATCCTATGTGATTCCTAGATGAGTATGGGATAGTGATACGCTATCACTGGATGTTCCTCATCCCATCCTTACCATCAGGTCCAAGTCCGACTTGATAACCCAATTCAAACTCAACCATATTGCTATGAGAATCACGATTTCTCCATACTCCCTCACCAAGATAATCAGGCACGCTCAGCTAGGGCATGACCCGTAACCATGACGATCGAGGCCTTGACAGTTGCTCTACTAATGGGCGGTAATAGCTTGAGATTAAACATGAGGCTTCATTTGTCTTGAACACCAGGATACCTTGACTGAATTCAAGTCATTCCAGTCAAGTTGTTCTGATCAACTCAGATGAACTACTCTTAGTTCGTTTGAGTCGTCTATATACAGAATCTCTTGGCCAACTGACTCGGTCCGAGTCAATACTTGACTCGGTCCGAGTCAGAAGCCGAAATCTCCCCAAATCAGTCCGAACCAAAAACGTGACAACTAGACAACCTTCTGTACTGACTCAGTCTGAGTCAACACTTGACTTGGTCCGAGTCAGAAGCCTCTGAGGTCAAGTCTGTTCGATTTTGATTCGTTCTTACTCTGTCGAGTCAACACTTGACTCTGCCCGAGTCAAAACTCTGATTTGTCGTTCTGACTCTGTCGTTTTGACTCGGTCGAGTCAAAACTCTGTCTGTCCGAGTCAAAACTCTGAGAGACACTTTCATGCTACGAAAATTAGGAATTCACCCTATTTCGATGCGCCATCAAGCCTCTACTTTTAGAAACTTATCCATGCATCAAATAACATTCATAATATTATTAAACATGCATAGATCAAGCCTATCATGCAATTCTAACCATTAAAATCATGTAGGCAAGCAACAAGCACGACGATATACAGAGAACCAGGCTCTGATACCACTGTTGGGTTTCGGTATGGGTTCCTAGCATGCGATCTCATCGTTCTAGGGTTTGGTTTCTAGGTTTCATGCAGCGGAAGAAAAAGATCTAAACCTAGCCAAACGTCACACGCAACCAAACTCATCCGTAAAACCCCGTAAAATCGTGTATATCACCGTGGGAATCGAATACTTACCTCTTTCTTGAAGAAACGAAAGTAGGAGTCGATCCGGGGCCTGTTTAATCACCTAGGACTGAAGTTACAGTCCCTCTACACGTATCCACACCGACGGAAAGGATTCCAAACGTTTTTTGGAACCGATCTGCTAGGATCTGTGAAGTATATCAAGTGGGATCTAATCCCGGGAGCTAGAACTATTAGGACGGCGTCCAACACCTCCTTATAAGTTAGAAACCCTAATCCTTGTGAAAAGAGACTTTTTCCGAGTATTGACTCGGTCCGAGTCAGAACTCTGACTGGGTCGAGTCAGAACGAATCAGCCCAAGCCAATTGTCAACCCTTTGACTCGGCCCATGGAACTGACTCAGTCCGAGTCAAATACTGACTCGGTCCGAGTCAGAAGGCTGAATTCGTCCCGACACTCTGATTCGATCCGAAAAACTGTTTGTTCGACCAAATCCAAGTCTTCCTTTCTGATACTTCACATATAAGTCCATCCCTAATGGTGTGTGACCCTGTAGGTTCATTCGCAGTGACAGCAGCCTCGAGAACCATTCCCGATCTACAAGTCATGGTTAGCCTCTGTTGGTTGTGATGCTCTAGGATGATCCGTGATATGACATTTTGACTTTGTATTGATTCATTGATTTATGAATGCATTACTTTTCCCGTTA